CTGAACATACCAGTTCAAGTATTTTATTGAGTGCTTTCGTAGATTTCTGCTTAGCGATGTTGGAATAAAATCGCTCCGGGTGAATTCGAATCTAAGGATATTATCAGAAGCAACAGTATCATGAGCTGACCTTATACTGGGGGGTGAAATTGTTAAGAACTGCCTCTACGAACTTGTTGGAAATGCGCGAATCCCAATTAGAACATTTATTAGATGCTGATACAAGTTCCAGTCAACATGTATGTATAATCTTATAGGTGCCTTGTCAGCTTCAAATTTGCCTGTTGTTTCAGGAAAGCTGTTAAAAGAACGCACCACTATTTTATGGTCACTACCTGGAAATCCATGTCCCACATGTACGGTAGATCGTGCTGTGTTGTTTGCGAAGATAATATCTAGGATATTCGCAGATTTAGTGGGTGGATTTAAGTGTTGTTCACATGACGTTTGAGATTTGGGTAAATTACTCTTTGCCTTGTAGATGACTTTGAAGGCGGAGGCTATAGAGATAGGGTGATCATTATCGACTAGATGTTCAATGATCGCGCTTCTTATTGCTCCACTTCCACCTTTTCGTAACCATGCAGGATAGTGTTCTTGCACCCTCTTGGACAAAACTCGTGTCGAACGACCGATTGCATTGCATATTATTATTTTATGCATTCACACCTATGTTTCAATTCCCTCACCGGATATAACTTCTTAAAAACCATATATATACGATTGTACAGCTTGATGATAAATTCATTGAAAAGAGTTTCTTCGCTGAATCATTTGTTTTGATTTTCTATGTGTTTTGTCTCTGCCTGAAATAGAGTTGATTTTATGTTCATTAACCCTATGTGATTGTACTAGTTTCTGTATTCCAGAAGCAGAAGAAGTTTTAGATTATGTCACCCCCATTTTAGCTGTTGCAGAGCTAAGACTGTGTCATCAGTACTAATATTGGGATCCGGTGTACTTGTAGGCCAAAGAAGTCTCATTTTGTATCCATAACTGTCTTCGTTTAATTATGATTGCCATCCTGTTGACCAGTTTCCACACTTCATAAACCCCATGAATACAACCCGCATAGATTCCCTGGACTAACTTCAGATAGCACTCATATAAAAGCTTGGAATATGTCCCTAAATGACATAATTTGGTCATCTTGATTTTGAGAGGAGAAACTGGTTTGGGCTGCCAATTGTCTCTCTGTTCAGGAGTTGAGAGACCTCCATACAACTATAAGAGATCGTTAAACAACATGGGGAGTAGCTATTAGAAACAGAAATTTCTATTAAAATGATTATTCAAATTACCGATCGGTAGCTCGCATTATTACAGAAGCCTAATAGAATTAGTGAACCTTTATCTTCCAAAGCACTGCGGAGGTCAAGTGAAGCGAGGAAATGCTTAGTCAAACAAATGGAATTTCATTCATCCTTCAATAGATAGGGAATATCTCACAAATAAGAGAGAAAATGTGGTTCCTTCCCGGTTACCCATCCAGTACTTTTGGGTTCCCCAATAACTTGCTACATCTGGGTGGCCATAGCGTACCGAGTGATAGAGGTCCCACATCAGCCTCCTCTTAGAAATGGGGTCCACAACGATTTCAGTTTAATTGGCGTGTCCTTTGAAGCTATTGTAGGGTTATCTGTCGGGTGCCTTTTCCAGCTGTTAAGTCGGCCGACAAATCATTACTTCGAATTTCCCCAACAGGGACTAAGTGGAGAGAGAAGACAGAAGTTGATGAAGTTGAGATAGAAAGTGTTTGGAGAACTGTTGAGGGTAGGTTGCCCAACACCGCACCGATGAGGCAGGATTTTGTCCTGGTTCTGATCGGTGCCTCTAGGGGCCCTGCAATGCGAAAAATGGAGGAAGATGCCAATTAATGAAGCGAACAGTGGCATCACACCCTAAAGTGTGGTGTGTGTGCTTCACCGCCAACACAAAAAATAAATAAGCAACTGATAGGTATAATAATAAAACATTTAGGTACGTTCACAGGTGATTCTCTCACTAATTCGGACTTGTAAAGACATTCTGTGATCTGAAAAGTAAGAGGTGAAACCAAATGTAGGGGCATTGTACGCCTGATGACAGCCAAAGACAAACCTATTTACTACTCTGAAATTCATATTTATGTATATAAACAAACACGTATACTGAAATCCTGGATAGTGGACGCTATGAGTTTGACTCTATACTTGAAAATATGACGGTCTTTCAAACACGAGCACCCAGAAAATTGTAACACATAGAATGCAAAAGTTAGAAATTTCATTGTTAAGGCAGCTTCAATTGTGCTACATTGGCCTTAATTACTATAGTCACAGGCGTTATAATGTAGCTCCTACTAGCTTCATCATACTCAACCGCAACCCATGACCCAGTCGGAGAATGCAAATGGGAAAAGCGGGCAAAATGTGAGACAACGGGGTAATTTTAACTGGCGAGGACGTCGGCGGAAAATGGGTAAAATGCGACATGAGTTACCTACCTTTTCCATATTTCCCACTTTTTCCCGCTCTCCCACGATCCTCCGGATTTTCATATTTCAATGATTTCCATTTTACCCACCTTTTCCCATGTTTTTACCCATTTTCATGGGACCAATGGATTACCCATCATCGCTCTGGCTGCCAACCACTATACTGAATTCACCTACAGCAACAAGCGTAAGGGCAGCTGTTTTTACATTTAAATATTTCTACTTTTCCGTATTCCATTCATTTAATATAAGGCCAACACAGTGTGGAGATAATATATATCTTATAAAAATAGATATTGCTTTTATAGAAGTGGTTATGAGTAAAAAGATGTACACTATCGATTTCACAATTTTCTTCTGCGGCAGTGATTGGCTTGGATCAGGTTAACTGAAGTCACACAACTTGCGCAATAAAGAAATGAAAGAAACAGTCTAGTGAGTTGAAATAACAGTGTTGTTATGAAAAAAAGCGAAACATTTTTCACATAACCTACGTCTTCTGATAAGGGCTCATTTTTCTTCAGGGTCGTTGATCATGACATCAATATTTAGTGGCTCTCACTGTCACTTCGAATATTTTCGCCTCGGTTTTTACTCAATTCCAGTTGTCTACGAACGATGTCACCTGATTATATTGTTAGCATACAGTCCTGTGCTTATCAAAAGTCTACACACCAAATACCAGTTGAAAAAAGTGTGCTGAGTCGAATCAAATGCAAACACGTGCAATGAGAATGATTCAAGATCTGTTCACTCAGATATCTGAAAAATTCTACTACCCTACGACAAGTAGGAGAGAACAAAGGAAACTATGAAACTCAAGTTTCAAGCTTATAACTGATATGATTATGGACAACAAATTTTGTTCCCAGTAACTAATAATCCCTTTTCGCTGTGTGATATTTCTAACAGACAAACTAATATGAAATTACTTCAGTCGCTGTTTGGCACTTCCTTGCTGTCATATCATTTTAAAACACCCCTGATATTTTGAGGGATTTATTGTACTGAATAATGATGGTACCATAATACAATGACACATTGTCCATACTGGATGTAACCTAGTGAGTAAACCAAATCAGAACAACGACTGGATTTTCTAAAACAATGGATATATTTTAAGGATGATGATGACATGCTTAACTAACAAGAATGAACGACCTGGATTAATACAGCAGAGTAACAGATGACACAAATTATTGACAGAGATCCATTAACTTGGCCAGAGAACTTAGTAGTGGAAATCGCACCCGATGTATAGTGGCAATGGAAGCGTATACCATCAATTCTGAGAAATTATTTGCAACTGAGGTTTCGTCTGGCGAAGATGAAGGGTACTGGTCTCTTCAGTGTTATTCTTGTGCTCATTCCACTGGATTACCAGTCAAATAATTTGAAGAACGGTGATCTAGGTGGACGACCGGCCCAATAAATTCGTGATGGTCAATAAGAGATTTTACAAACAAAAATTGAGATTATTAATTATCGTGAACGTTGTTCAGGATTCGGTGTAAGAGTCCTTTTCGAATGAGTGCTTTAAGGTGAACTGTAACTAACAGTTCTCAGTTCAAATGAACTATCGTCAAGACTTGACAGAATAGTTCTAAAATATTTGGGCGCCGAGTGAGAAGTAGACACTTGTAAAAGATTATATTTGTAAAGTCTCAGCGAGATTGAAATGAGTAATTCCAACGTTTCGTTCGGCAATCTGGTCCGAACTTCTTCAGGGAAATTAATCGAAATTAACATAACATAGGTTAATATATAAAAAGGAACATCACTTGTTCTCAGTTCAGTTCATAACTCTCAAGATAACATCTGAATGGATACGGACATGCCTCTAGGCAACTTGTAATTGTTAGTGCAGAACTTCAAAAAGAGATTTTCCATTTAAAATTCTTGCGATTTCTAAGGCCCCCCTCCAACAGGCTGGACTTATCCGGCATGTTGGTTGAAATTTCGCTCGGCAAATTTTTTTGTCAATAATTTTTAATAAAATTTTGTTATATGTTTTCTGGATTGATAGGAATTCTCATTTCCTGGCTAGTTATGTTGGTGTCCGCGTCATTTAATCTGACTGCGACACACTTAGCATATTGGTTGTAATGATTAGAGTTTCATGCTGAATGCGTCAAAACATCTCTACAATGAAGAAGATGGGGTAGTTGGGGAGTAATGTCATCTACACAAACAGTTTATTTCTTGTAGAAGCTGCAGCTTTCGACATAGTGTCATTCAATGAAGACTACGTCAAAATGTGGCTATTTTCGTGTGAAGAACAGTACTATTTTACAAAAGAATGCTATCAGTACATGGGAATCACCTATAAATACCAACAGAACGTAAAACGAATGCGTAAACGAACGGCTACGGAACTGCAATCCAGCATAACCGACTAACATGGACGAGAATGACCTTTGAGCGTCTCACTCCATCAATGACCTTGAGCATGCGGGATAATTTCAGCCCTCCAACACGCACTAAATGCCGTTTTACACACAAATATCTAGCTGTTTTCTGATTGGCCTGTGCAAGGTCATTCAACTGGTCAATTTCCGGTTTAGCATCCTTTTACTTCGCTCACATTTCTTATAATTTCGCAAGTCAAATAATAATGGAATATCAGTTCAACATGATAGTACGAAGGCAGCCGATGAACATCATCCATGTTGCTGGAGTAACAACTCAGTTACTTGTTCAAAGTTGTTTGTTAAGACATTTGATTTGGTTGATATTTTCACAGAGAAATAAAGCCAAAAGAACACCTTAACTTTGATCTCTATTTAATAGGTTACTTCCCTTACTTGTTAGATTGGGATGTTTCGAGTTTTGGGCTGCGCAAATAAATTACTTAAATGGGGTACGCACTTTTCAATTGGCCACGCTGCAGTTAATTGTAAGTTATTTCACATAGGGCTTGTTTCGGATCTTCTTTTCGGTCTGAACAACCATAGTGATCACTTTAATTTTGACCAATGTAAGTGAAAAATCTGTCCTATATCCGTAGTACAAATCAGTAAGCCTTTCAGCGATAAAACCTTTCTTTGCATGATGTCGACATTCCAGTAATGAAACTACACAATTCGAATCATGTAGACATGGTACTATGCCGGTCACCATGGTGAGTGTACTTGTCATGCAAGACTAAAAAGACTAATCATGTCACAAAATCAAGACCTGGAAGGTGTTTTTTGGTAAGGCTGATGACTATCAGGTGTGCGGTTCTGTCATTTGCATGAGCGACCCGGCCTTCGAATGCAGCTTTCACAATCAATGGGTGCACTGCCGATGTGCGAAGGAGTATCAAAACCATATTGTGAGTTTATGCTAAATAACCATGTCCTTGGTTCTTGCTAAGATGCTCACGTCCAAGTTAAACTGTAAGCACCAGTAAGTACCGGTGCAGTGTCACCGTACCAATGACCTTAAAACGCCCTGTGAGCAAGTTAGTGGAACCCCTTAAATAACGTTGTAATCATGCACACTGTCACGCTGACCCAGTCTTACGCAGTGTTTCATCAGGAAGCCGAGAATCATGAACAAGACACTCCATCTCAACCGATCAGGAGTTTAAATCTAGTGGGGCTGAAGATACTCGAAGCTATACCTGATAAACGTTCTACTCGTATATGTTCTACGCTGTGTTTTGAGCAGCAGGTATTTCCAGTACTGTCGAAATGCCATCTGTATACACTAGCAAACATGGTCTTTGTAGTGTACTACAAAATAGTAACGCACTAAAGCCGTGTAAGGTTACTTATCCTAGGATGAGAAACAAGCAATCAAGGACTAAACGTAAGCCCGAGTGTGGTCAATCAAACTGTCTCATTCTGTACAGTGTATCGATGTGCACCTGTTTGTTCAGGAACAATGTTTTAATTTGTGCAACAAACTAGGGCTCAAAATCCAGTTTGTAAAGCTGCTTAGACTGTTGCAGAGTGTTCAGTCACCTCATGGTAGATGTTCAGTATATGCTTATTACTCTCTTAACTCCTAGCTATGGAGAGACCTTCCAGTGAACGAATACAACCTGAGAGCTCATGGGTAGTCAAGCAAATGGCGAGGCGGTAGCTAAAATACAAATAATTTATAATTTGAAGCGTATGTATCCGTCTGGGCCCTTAGAACAGATGAGAAATGATGTCACATTCCATTGTATCTACCAATTTAAATGTGTGGTTGCACATAAATAGGGAGGACTCGTCGATCTTTTTAAGTAAGGGCTTCAGAGCATATTCCTAGATAGCTTCAGAAGCAAGTGGAATCCCCTGAATCTATGAATGGTGAAAACACCACCTAGCTCTTCTATTGCGAAACATATTATAGAGACAGGACGTAAAATTGATTTTAACACCTCCTCTAAACCTATCTATGAAACGTGTTTGGGGTGCATCCTGAATCTTGTGAAAGCCCTAGAGATCAGGAAGTTTAAACTACGTTTTTGCGTCCAAAAACAATTCGTGATCACACTAAACCTTCCTTGGTAAACCACACTACACCTGTTTTGATAACATGGCAGACGTACTGTTATCTCCGTTATTTGGATTATTGATCTGCGTTGTTACTTTGACCTTCAATATAGCCTTTTAACTTGACCTATATCTATCCTTTTCCCCTTTAACGCTTTATTATTTTTATATGTATTCCGATGAGAAATACGTGTGTGGTCAGATTGTTCAAAATGTGCTGTGCAAATACATAACGTCATTCAGATAAATTGCGTCTTCTTGTTGTTTTCGACTTCGCCTTGAGGTTTCAATTTATTTGGTCTCAAGATGCTACTACAAAAGTAGCATCTGAAACCGTGACAGTAGTTTGAGACAGCTGTATTTACCACATAGAAATTTGATGTGGAAGAAATGTTTGAAAAAGGTTCACCGACTATGAGGATCAGGCTTTCCAATCGGTTAATTCAGAATAGAGGATATTTCTTGTTAGGGAGGATAACGTACATCCATGCAAGACCTTGAGTTTCCTGTAGTTCTTTTGGAAAAATTGACAAAACTTTGCTCTGACTTTATCGTGTTCATTATTGACATTTAGGTTACATTTCTGACTAATATCATTTTATTAACAGAAGTGACTATATCTTTCAGATGTGTCTTTAGAGGGTAATGTAAAACAGCATATACATTTTTTTGGAATAATCTCACATATTAAAAGCTACTGTATTATCTGTGTAAACTGTAGAGGAAGTTGAACGCTTAGGAAGTACTGAGAAATGGGGACACTTGATAGTATCATTGACTTTGTATCAAGAAAATGAAATCTTCCATAACCCTCAGTGTTGAGTAATTTACGATCGTTTGGTTGGGGAGTGGGGAAGAGGAGATTCCAATGTTTTGATGCACTTCCACAACCATTTTTACACTAATTAAGCCGCCCCAAAAATTTTCCACTCAGATCTGGCTGACTAAACACATCTCTGTTGTTAGTAGCAACTTTGATTTACATCGAATTGTATGAGTATTTCTGATCTATCCTTCTGACACCGTTGGGATTTATTTTAATGCACGTTCAACGATAATTAGCCTTTCACTGTTTTACTGGGTATAGATAAAGTATCATGTTTGGTGACATTTTCGTTAGTGTCCTTTCCGAAGGTCTTCTGGTATATGAAAGTGTTAGATTCTAACTTATTATACCATCTTCATGAATTTAACAGAAGCTAAGCGTAGACCACTTTTGCCTCGTCGGATTATCCGAAATAGGCTTACAATGCTGTAGTAAGCACAAAAACCACTCCTTATCATTCATGTGTTTGGGATCACATGTATGGTCTCATTATCCTCCACTTAGACGATGGGAGATTCATTAGGAATTGGATTCTGTAAAGCTGAATTTAATGTAATGAAAATGGATGAAATTTGAGTACACATGAAATAGGTGTGTAAAAATGACAGCTGTTGTATACCTACACTTGTAAAAGTTGAAGTTAAACTTTCACTCGAACACAATTACTACTAAAAAAATGAATCAATTAGCGAACACATTTGGAAACTAGATACTTTGATGTTCAAAAAACATAACCAACTTCCAGTTCGTCAGTTCATGCAGTCAAGGTCTAGGACTGTTGATAGTATAATAGAAGCATTTATATTGAAAGAACTCTTGGTAAAGTACTTTTCATTATGTCGGACATAACTGACAGATTAATGAGTTCACAAATGTTCCAAAATCAAAGGAATTAGTACGTTTCTTACCTTCTTATTTGCTGTAATAGGATTCGTACTAACTTATCACAGTAAGCAGCGTAACAAGCAGACAGTTAAATAATACTTGGACACTAACATTCCTGAAATTACATCTTTTACAAATTGTCATGTAAAGTGATGACAACTGGTGGTGTCCGTCACTGATGTCCACTGTCCCCATAAATGTACCAATAGAATTTACCCTGACTGACTACACGGATTGGCTTATTACCATGGGATAGTCTTGTTGACTTAAAATATAGTCCTCCTAGATGAAGAGTCTTCTGAACACCTTGAAATGCAATCTTGGAATGTTTGGCATGCGATTCGCTCCTGTCAGATGTAAGATGATGCTATGTGACTGGACTTCATCGACTCTTGGCGTAAAAATAGGGAGTGAAATAGTAGAGCGTGTTGATCACTTCACTTATTTGGGGACTGGCATTAGACCAAACGGACTAATCGTTGACGAAATCTCAGCGTGGATACTGAAGACTCGTGCCGAATTTGCCAGCATGCATCATATGTGGTGTAGATGTAATATCTGGCTATCGGTCAAACGACTTGTGTATTGCTCAACACTTTGCTCCGTCCTCCTTTATGACTGTGAGATATGGCCTTTGAAATTAGAAGACATCAAAAGACCAGTTGTCTTTGATCATGACTGCTTGCATTTTATCTCTTATGTTAGGTGGCATAATTTGGTGAGTAATATTGAGGTAAGGCGTCAAGTGTTAGGTTAAGAGAGAAGATGTATCGATGAGGATGTGAAGCTGCACTGATTGGGGTGACTAGAACATGTTTACATGCAACGAATATAACATCCGCCGAATATTGACGTAAATGTTGTGTTTAAGTATGTTATCTTATCTTTGGTCGTTTCAACGGTTTTAAGATTATCTTCCAATTCCTTGCTCAGCATAACACTAGGTAGCGTGCTTGATTACAGTATACGGAGGAGGGACAAATACTCTAGTTCCAAATATGTAAGATTCAAAGGAGAATGCACTGAAAGTTTCCGACATCACTTGTTGTTCCATAAGCATTGTATACAATAGGTCTATTAATGTAACACTTTTTGCTTCTCAGTAACAATTCATATTGATTTATCTTTATAATTATCTTAGACTCCAAAAGCATGAGTGTGGATCTCGCTGAATATGATGTTGAAATTATGGAGTTATGCCGGCAAGAGAAAAAGCGTCAACGACTTGGCTTAGAGTTGATAGCTTCAGAGAATTTCGCCAGTAAAGCAGTCCTACAGGCTTTATCCTCTTCATTCCACAATAAATATTCTGAAGGTCAAGTGGGTGCCAGGTGAGCTTATTGAACACTTTTGATTAGTGTGTGATTATAGTTTTTTTTTAATAATCATTTTGTTTCAAATCTACCGGATTTTAGCCAAAAATGAAATAGCTAATAATAATGACTTGCTTCATTCCATTACAGTACTTACGATGCAACATGGAATCCTCAGTTTTTGATACAATATTGCATCGAATTTACTCAACAGAACCAAAGACATAAACAAAAGGTCATATTACAGGGTTTAATTAACCAAGATTGATATTAGCAGCCTTTTTAGTCAGTGTTACAAAAAGTGTAGTGACTAATAATAATATTAACAACTGAAAGATAATTAAAAGTGTCACCATAAATTACAAATAAGAGAAGTAGAAACAGTCATTTATTTTGCTTATGACATAGCAAGTTGTAAGTTTCACACTTTCTCTGTCACATAGAACGTGGGTCAAATATGGTATCGATGAGGTTTTGTACATGATTGTACGAGCATATAATTGTTTTTGATGACTTCGAGTTCCCTACCTGATAAGATGCAACGTGGGGAAGAGTTGTGAATAGAGGGGGTGTTGAGAGTCAGGCAAAATAGATTTAGCCCATTTCTCGCATGAGTTAAGGTGTCTGTCGACTACAGTGGTTATAGGGTGACTTAGTGGTGCCACACCACTTCTTTTACTGATAACTTCTAATACCCTTCACAATATGACATAGTCGTTTTTGATTGGTAGCCCATGGGAGACGAAGGGTGGGGGAGCAATAAAGAACAATAGATACGAGTTAAAAATTTATAAAATAAAGGTTGAGTGATTCCTGATCGTGTTAACTTCTTAATATAGCAGGTTAGATGGAGCATTTTCTTAGAAATCAACAAGATATGGTATGACCAAGTGAGGTTAGAGGAAAGAACTATTCCAGGGTATTTTGTGCTTGACTTAGATTCTTTTTCAGTGCCCTCTATACTACTGGCATCTTGTGAACGAACTAGTTCATGTAGATCGTGTTTATACCTACAGGTGAAATTAAATATCTGACATTTAGAAGAATTTAATGCAAAACTACTTAGCTTGGACGACTGGTTTATATCTGACAAAAACCTATCAAGTTTGGAAAAGTCAGATCGAGATGTAACTGACAACGAAACAGTCATATCATCATCGTATTTGACTAAGTTGATTTCCTCCGAAAGAGCCAATTCATGTAAGAAGAGAGAATAAAGGGGAAAGACGACAGTATCTTGAGGGACTCCAGCTTCAGTAAGCAAGGCAGAGGAACATTTGACTTTATATACCGTATACAGCATTCTGTTTGAGAAATAAGAATGCAACCGGTTAGCAGCCCAGGACCAGGTTTGTGTCAGGGAGAGCTTATTTAGCGAAAGACATCTGGGTACAGAGTCGAAAGCGGATTTATAGTCAAGGTGGATACTTTGGATATGTATTTGGCTTCTTATTCTAAGCAGAAAACTACATTATGATGTAAGACAGTGGCAGCAGCGGCATCTAAAGTACTTCTGCCCTGTTTATGTGCAAACTATTTGGAGTCATTAAAACTTTTCAAGGTTGAGTAAAAGTGGTTTTTCCACTACTTTAAAAAAAACGGAGGAGTAATTACAATAGGTCTGAACTTAACATTTATATCAGTACATGATTCAGGTATCGGAATACTTTTAATGCCTTGCCGTCCTATGGATACAACATTACTGGAAGAAGTACTGGAAATGTTCATAACATAAAATATCAGCACAGGTTCTAAGGACGACAACAAGTTTTAGAGATTTGTGGCATTTGAGAACATCAGAAGTATTAAAGTCATGAGAGGTATAGAAATACCAAGACATTTTTTCATTTTTTAAATGATCTGATAAACTACAGTTACTTTATCGGGCATTGCCATTATTTCAGTTGATCACGTAAAATTTGTGAGAGGTTTTCTCGGTGGGCTACTTTTTTATTTTCTTCTTAGTAACAATTTCGGCTTTTCTTACTCAAACATGATTCTTTTTATCATTTGACGGTTCTAACAATATCTGAAAAATTCTGTGAAAAATTAAGTTTTTTTTCATTCCTTCACGTTCCAAGTGGAACATAGGGCTTCAGGCTAGAGGCTTGAAGTTTCTGTAGCAGAGTTTAATTTTACAGGATGGGGTTGCTAGCTACATGCCCAACCTTTCCTCTTCACCAGCTTTTAGTTCTGGCTTAGCGAGGTAAAGGAGTGAGTCGACCGGGGATCGAACCCCGGACCATGTGCATGGTCGGCGAGCGTCCTAACCGACGCTGAAAAATTAAGTAATTCAGTTAATTATAAATTCACTGATTATTCCCTTTGTGTATATCGATCTAGAAATGATGTGTGTATTTTCATTAGATTTCTGTGCTTTATCAAAATGTGACAACTCGAGCTAATATACTTCAGTGCCAAAACCATGTTAGCATGTCAACAGTATCAGAAATGTCCCTACTTGATATACCTGACCATCATTTCCTATACACGATTGGAAATCACGTCCGTTACACTTCCGTCAACCCCGCTTACTTAGATGCACAGACTTTCCGAATACTTCTAACTTCATATGTGAGCGGGTATAAATGCAGATACAAGCTGTTGAAAGTTTTGTAAAAATTAACTTGTACTTTGACGGTACTGACTGACTGAGTGACTGACTGGTTTCAACATAGAACTTTGCACCGATGTGCAGCAGTTCGAGTCACCACACTTCACTCAGCACAAAAAGCAAGAGAAGAAAGTAAAAGGAAGTGCAAAATAGAAATAGTAAAGAGAGATATTGGGCAAAAAGATTAGTAATATTGAAGAACAATATAGTTTTATTGGGTACTATAAGTCACAAGGAGTGAATGCATCTGCGATAGCCGTTGAGAACGAGGATTTTGGGCCATATTACCAATGGTCTCCAGCCTTCATTGATGTTTACCATCCCGAGGACCCCAACCAGCAAGCCAGTCTACACACCTTCCGACGTGGCTTAAACTAACTGTTGTGGATTTCATTGACTGATGAAGCTATGTTTCAGTTTGATCACCACTGGCGCTTTTCCAACCTGACCTTATATCAGCTATCATTGCCCGTCGAGGAAGGCGATGACTAGGTATACATAACACACGTCCTAACCATCTCAGTCGATGTTGCTTCACAGCCTCGTCGATTGATTTCTGTTATGATGCTAGATCCTTTGTCACGCGGTCACTGCTTAACTACTGACCAGTGCCCACTTAACTGGTAAAGCAGAACACGAAGAGAATCAACGGTAAAACCAGGTTCATTTATTATGACAAAAGTGACTGTATTTATACAGAAAATAAGGTAGACTGGAAATCAACCAATCCGGTTGAGAGTTTGAATTGTGCAAGCGTCCAATCAGAAGCAGGAACAATTGCATGTCAACGACTTGTTAATAACGCGATAATAACTTGACTGAGAGATGATAATGACCTGATAATTGCATGTGTTTTGTTTCTTCCTAACAATTTCCTCTCCTTACCTAACACTCGAAACCTAACCTCAATATCACTCACCCTATTATACCATTTCACACGGGAGATAGAAGCAGGTACCCATGATCAAAGAGAACCAGCTAGTCTTTTCATACCTTCCACGGTGCTAACTGCATAATATAGTTATAGATGCTTATCGTCACTTGATCAAGTGTGATTTGGACAGCCTGTGTGTCACCACACGGAAGGGAACGTTTCTGCATACTTAAAATCGAGCGATTTATGAATTCAATTTGTTTTCAATCGAATTTGTAGTGATACCTCAGAGTTTATTGTGTTGTAATTTTAATGTATTTTAATTTGGCTATTGAATTATTTTTGCATGTACAAGGTTATATGAGCCACATTTGTTTAATTTCTTTACGTTCCCAGTGGAAAATAACGCTTCAAGCTTCAGCTTTGAAGTGTTGGTAGTGATGGTGTTTACTTTCACGGGATCGGGATGCTAGCCTCATGCCCAACCTTCCCTCTTTACCAGTCTTATTACTGGCTTAGCGAGGTAAAGGAATGAGCCGGCCAGGGATCAAACCCCGAACCACATGAGTAGTTGACGAGCATTCCTACCGCTGTGCCACGGAAACACATATGAGCCACATAGATATGCAAAAGCGTAGGACGCAATATGGTTGTCTATATCGTGGCAATTAGAATAAGATTTAAATTCGGCATTTTGTTTGCCGGTGTAGAGATTTATCCAATAATCTAGAACACTCAGTGCATACTCATTATTCACTGAGTGATTCTAATTTTATATATTTATATATATGTTATATTTATATTTAAACGCAGAAACACTTGGTACAATATGGCAACAAGAAAGATGCGCCACACAATAATAATAAAACAGCATAGATTAAAAGTAAAAATATAGGTAGAAAACGGATAAAGAACTTCATCAGGAAGGAAAACTGTCATGTTTAACAAGTTCAAACAGTATTCGTTAACTATCATCAGGAAGGGAAGAAAGAAGGAAATTGCAACACGACACAGATAGGTTAGGAATCCAGACAAAGACGAAAAGCTGTCGAAAGTTAAGAAGTCAAGGTGAGCAAAGGTAAAATACAGGAAACTAAGTATAAAAATAAAAGTAAGGTTGGAAAGAGATGTGTTACTTGAGACATCATTATTGCTTGAACACATTGTTACGAGCGCGCGATAAGTTCCACTGATATTTTGTTGCTTTATTTCATTCATTGTGTGAGGGCTGAGATACTGCCCGGGTGCCCAGACCGAAGCAGGTGGTTTTCTTAAGGGACCACCCCCCGAGCCTTTGACTTGGAGTCTAACCCGCAAGGCAGCGGAGCAGCGTCAGGCGCTGCGTTCCCATGGTTGCCGGTGACCCATATGGGTTCGTACGCCATTTGATCTGATTGGATTCTGGAGCCCATGTACCCCATGGTAACTGCTTTTAGTCTAACCGCTATCCAAACAACCTTCCTGGCATGGTAGGACCTGCAGGGACATGAGTCCCAGCCAGTTTAGCTTGTTGGGTCACTGCGGCATTAAAGTCCGACCACCACGGCAGGGTAGCAGTTATCGGCCGGGGATTCTAATTACAACGCTTGATGAAAGCTGAAATTATCCTTCATCTTCACCAAGAGTAATACATTTCTGTAGTTCTGTCTAAAGTATATCAACATGGTATTGTAATATATAGCAGTGCTATATTGCTAAAAGATACAATGTTAACATTCTATAATGTATCCGTTTGTCTTTTCTCTTATTTTCTATTTTCTAGATATTATGGTGGTAACGAAATTGTGGATAAAATGGAAACTTTGTGCCAAAAACGTGCTCTATCCTTATTCGGTCTCAATGAATGTGAATGGGGTGTTAATGTACAACCTTACAGTGGATCACCTGCTAACTTTGCTGTGTATACAGCATTAGTTGGTCCTCATGGTCGTATTATGGGACTAGATCTACCTGATGGTGGACATCTTACACACGGATTTCAAGCTGCATCTGGTCGAAAAGTGAGTCGATTCACGACATTCTTCATATTTCATGAAAGATGTGGTATATATATATATATATATATATATGTATAGTAATACCTTCATCATTATTCCTAAAGAATGTGTCGGTATGTTATATGAATCAATTGAGCACATATTTATCCATTCAGAATATTGAAGAAGATCCTAATTTTCAGTGCTAGTGTCAAGTCAGTGCTTCTATATAGTTCAGAGATTTCTTGCGTCACGGGAAGCATTTCTAACAGGCTACAGACTTCTATCAACAGCTGTCTTCACTTCACATACTAAACAAACGATCGGTTCATAAAAGACAAACAACAAGGAATTCTGGGAACAAACTAGCCATGAACCCCGTTGGCCAATGAATGTTCGAAAGTAAACGAAGATGGATCAAACACACTGAAGAGACCGTTGAGTAACATTGCGTGCCAGACCAGAGTTCGAGTGGAACCCGAATGGGAAACAATGAGTTAGGCATCCAAGGGTCACATGGAAACAGTCAATCGTCTGAGGAGGAGACGAAAGCCTTTTGGCAATCATGAAGTCAGCTTAAAGGTGACTGTATAGGATAGAGTAAAGTGGAGATGTACTCGGGATGTCCTATGTTCCATTAGGAACCAAAACGAATAATAATAATAAGTGACATAAAAGAGAAATTGAAAGTGCAGTTAGTTAATAAGTAATCTGCAAAGTTTATGGAAACATGCCTTCAACAGATAACTACCTCTAAAGGCACGGTCAATACAAGAACTGGCGCGGAATTATGCTCTTGTCTATCCCAAGCAAAATACTAAACCGCATCATCCTGGAGAGAATCAAACATGCCAACCTGGATGAAAAACTTCAACCGGAACAGGCTGGATTCAGGAGAAACAATGCATCGATCAAATCTCAGCATTACGGATCATCATCGAACAGAGGATGGAATGGCAGTCACCTCTCTATCTCAACTTCATCGACTTTGAAAAGGCCTTCGATAGCGTCGATCGAGAGGTGCTTTGGCAACTTCTTCGCTACTACGGGGTGCCACCGACAATTATACACCTCATCCAACAGTTGTACGATAATGCTGCATGCCAAGCAATCCACAACGGGAAACTTACGGAATCCTTCGAAGTGAGGAGAGGAGTAAGACAAGCTGGCTGCCTACTATCTCCAATGATTTTCCTGATTGCAGTAGACTGGATAATGCGACAAACAGTGGGCAATGAGTAAACAGGCATAAAATGGACTCACACAAAAAACTTGGAGGATCTGGACTTCGTCGATGATATATGTCTGACTTCCCACAAACTAGAAGATATGCAAGTGAATAGCAACAAGTTGGCAGAAGAAGCATCCAGAAAAGATAGGACTTCCTTCAGGTGAACATAGAGAAAACAGAGGTAATGAAGATTCCTGGACAAGAACAACAACAACAGAAAACGATCAGCATAAATGGGAGGAACCTGAAAGAAACAACCTCTTTTACCTACCTGGGAAGCATCGTTCCAACTGCAGGCGACGAAAGTGATGAGGATATGAAAGCGAAGATCATCGGGAAAGCAAGGCAAGCTTTCATTTCTCTCAAGGCTGTGTGGAGATGTACAGTAGTCAGCATGAAAAATAAGATCCGGATTTTCAACTCTAATGTGAAGTCAGTACTACTATACGGATCACAGACTTGGCGACGCGTTACGAAGGGGGCACTTCGAACAAACTACAGACTTTCATCAACAGCTGTCTTCGCTCATTACTACTCAAGATCAGATGGCCCGCCAGAAAAGATCAGCAATAGTGAGGGATTTCTGGGAGTGAACCAACTCAGCAGGAACCAATTGTGCAACAAATATGCAGGGAGAATTGGAGGTGGATTGGCCATACTCTGAGAAAACAAACCACTAAGTGACATCACACTCCAGGCCATAACTCTACTGGAATATGAAGGGGAAAGCGTCGAGTTGGTCGTCACTGCAGGGGTAACATGGATGAGGTCATGTGAAGAGGAGATGAGAGCATGTGGGCAAACGTGTAGTCAGGTGAAAACGTTAGCAGAGAACCGAACGCAATGGAGACGTGAGTCTGTAGCCGTATGTTCCTCTAGGAATTAAAGGAAATAATAATAATCCAGGACATGGTCAGATTGACCAATACTTGACTCTAAAGTGTATAACAAACAATTTCTTCTAGTCAGTCACACTTCCAAAGCCAGGAATATATGGTAATTTAATCGGAAAATTGTTTGAAATATAGTGCTTTTAAATTACATTACAAATAATGGGATTACACAAAAATATTTGTCAGACAATTTTCTAAAATAGCAGTTTAAAAGTAGATATAAGAATAGAATTTGAGCGTGATTTATTGCTCATAATCATAGTAAGGCACTCACTTTCTGTCTACCGATAAAGTCAAAGAATAAGAAATAATGGAAGCATTGACAGAATTGCTCAGAAGTGGTTTCTAAACATAAGAAATTACACAATAGTCAGTCAGTGACACAATAGAAGAAAGAGTTCGAATTTTCAAAAGGTGAAAACATTTTTATTCGATGAAAGGCTAAGGTAAGGTTAGTGTCAAGTGAACCCTCAACTACCCTACTTCTCATCAGTAAATAAATAATACTGTATCATTGAGTTTTTTATCACATAAAATTCTTATATGATTATCCTACACGGTTGGTTAGCAGCATCGAATGCTAACTGAGAGACAGGAAGTAGATTATTGATTGAATTTGTTTATCATTACGCTTATCTTGAGAGTTGTATTAGTCATTATAAATCAGTTGACGGTGGTGATTGGCAACACAGAATTCATAATTCACATTCGATCATACTTGGGACTCGTCAGTTGATTGTGAACGATGATGTTCCCGATAGCACTTGAATCCAGAATTCACTGTCATTTCGTCGTTACCGTAGTTGTTACTTCAACCACCACGTACATGTTAGTGCAGATAGCACTAAGCTGTACCTATTGCATGATTTATGTCCATATAAGCCTCAACGGGTGAAGTGAAGGTGTAGGGTTCAGACTAAATCATGAGTTTAACGTTAGTTTCAGTGTTAGCAATAATATAAAACTTGACTGTTTTGTTTCACTTGACTGAGAACGACTACAAGACTGTTACTCCTATTGTTCTTAAGGATTTTGTCAAGAACTATTCGTTCATTGAGAAATTGTCTAACTTGACCAGGTGAACTTAAATCGTTGTTATGGGTGAGATGTTAGTAGTTATTGAAATTAGTTGGTTCATTCCATATTAGTTTGTTTATTAGGTATATCACACAGTGAAACAGTATTATTTATTTATTTACCAGTAAATAATACTGTTTCACTGTGTGATATACCTAATAAACAAACTAATATGGAATTACTTACTACCACAGTGCCCAAGTTTTACACATATATTAGTTGGTTCATTATTGAGCAACTCTTTTGTAGTAAGAATATTAAGTGGTTTATAATAATATTTGAGTTGTTTTTTTGTCTTTTTCTGAGGCAAATTAAATTCAACTTCAGTGTTACATAATACCTAACTTTGTTGTGCAATGCTAAAAATAGCATTTTAGAGAGAAAAGACAAAAAACAGTAACAAATTTGCATATCTTTTACTAACATTCGTGTTATTAAAATCAAGTTAGATTTGATGTTATCACATTTCATCATAAGAAGAGTCTTTTTTTACATGGTTGTATTCTCTTAGTTGGCTGATTTATTTGGAAGGCTTCTATTGCCTTCCTAGGCAATATGTTCAGTGCAAGCCTTACGTAGGATTCTCAATAAAGCAGGAATTAGGGTATCATTCAAACCTACAAACTCACTCAGGTAGGACAAGCTCTGTAGGTTAAAGGAACCTGTCGGTTGACCCAATTAAACAAGATAATATAATTTACAAAATACCTTGTAATGACCGTGAGTGTGTTCAATGACATAGGTGAGACTAGTAGATCGGGGGTAGTCAGATTGTGAGGATATAAGAATTTAACTAAGAGTAGGATGGTTGACCTCACCCGCGAAGATAAGTAATTTAGAAAAACGCCCAGCGATTGCACTGCATGCAATAGCACACAATATGGTGGGAGAGGGTTAAAATTCTAAGAAGTAATATAAGCAGTTGGAGATAGAGAGAGATTGATTACTGAATCCTACCTGGTTCATCGAGACTACATGCAACAGAAATGACTCAATGGAAATATTAGAGATATGGAAGATATTATTACCACCAGTCAAATCAGAGGAGGATAATAAATAATCTCAAAATTCTATTTGAATTCAAACACATCACAACATTCTAATAAGTTACTTATTTTGACGATAGAAACATCTTATTTCCCATTTGATTGTAATTGATCAATAATACTCATATTATTACTATTTCCGAATGTACTTTGTCTTATATTGATTTTATTCAAATGTCTAATCAGTTTGTACTCATGTATATAAATGAAGTAAAGAAAAGTTGTGTGAGTGACTTGATATGATTATGAGCGACAATAGTTTGTGCTCGAAATGTGGTCATCATTTAATATTATTATTAATAATAATAATGATATGATTGTATTCCCAATTATATAATTCATAGAAAATTCAAATAAGTTGTCTTCATATAAGGGCTTGCAGTGAAGATGTTGTCTAGGAAGACAATAGAAGCTTTCCAATTAAATCAACCAGCTCAGAGAATACAACCATATCGAAATCATCCATCTGAGGTAGAAATCTTCTCTATTATTATTTCAAGAAGAGTCTTTGTTATTCTTAGCACAAACTACAATATAAAAAATTATTTTGTGAGTTTTTGATTACAGGTTATGATATTCATTAAGATTTTGTAATTGCTTATTATTTTTATTACTAATATTTTTGTTATCAGGTGTCAGCTACTTCATTGTACTTTGAATCTATCCCGTACAAAGTTGATCCTCATACCGGGTTGATAGATTATAATCGTTTGGAGATGTTAGCTCGTGCTGTTCGTCCAAAATTAATTATTGCTGGAACTTCAGCGTACTCTCGTCATTTGGATTATGCACGATTTCAGCAAATTGCTGACTCGGTATCAGCTATTTTATTCGCTGATATGGTAAATACTTTATTTGATATCATATTTCTATATTCAGAGGAAAATAGTGTTATTTTTGTGGTTCCTTTTTTTTAACATAAGCATTTCATATACTTGTATGATAAAAGCAAGCTATGCATTTTAAGGAATTATGTTAAAACATTATGTTCGAAATTATCGAGTTGTATTTAGGGTTTTTATAAGTTGGTATTTATAGTAACTGAAATGATTAGTGTTCTTCAAAAATATCAGGGTTTTTTGTTCAATCTAATGGTAGATTTACTAATGGAAGTGACTTTGATTGCCTATCATACTTGTCGGAAAAAAACTTACTATCTGGAGAAACTAACTATGCTTGTAACGAGAGAAGACAAGAGTCAGGCAACAGACCGTTTATTGAGAAAATCGAGAGATATTTATAGATTTTTATGTACATTATTATTCGTTATTTTTAGCTGAGAGGTAACGTCTTCTGATTGGTTGTTTTCCTGCCGTTTCTTAGACAGTCCGGTGATATATCTGCGAATCGTATCCGCCCACGCAAAGTCTACTGTGATTGGTTGTTGAGTTCGTCAAGGTTAGGCTTTGTTCTTGTTTTCTCTCATGACCCCGATTTGGGACGAAAACATTGACGTAAATTGGTGTCTACCAATTTTGCCTTGCAGACAGCTCTCGCCACATGCTAAGTTAGCTCCCTCGGGCAATAAAACTGATTTACGCGAAGACGCTGATAAAGGGTAGTGTGTCTGCTACCCTACTGAGCGAAATCTAAGTTTGTTTGGTATATGTCAAACAAGATCAGATATTCAGAAAGGATCAGCAACAAGGAAATCTGGGAAAGAACCAATCAAGAACCTAGTCTAGTTGACAAATATGTCGAAGAAAAAGGAGATGGATTGGACACACACACTGGGGAAGAGGTTATTGAGTAGCATCACACACCACCAGGCCGGGAGCTCTAATGGAACCCGAACAGGAAACGATGAATTAAGCTCAGCTCCGAAGGTGATATGGAGGAGATCGTTTGAAATCTTCTGGGCAATTGTGTAGCCAACTGAAGATGACTGCATAGAACAGAGTGAACTATAAATGTGCTTTGGATGTAGTGTTATATAAGACTAGGTTAGTGTAAGCTTTAATTTTAAGGATACATAATAAAACGACGAAATCCTTTGAATAGTTTAATTGTATGTGTGTTTGTGTGTGTGTGTGTGTCAGCAGCCTTAATACAGTATTATTTATCTACTTGATGACGTTTCGCGCACAGATTATCGTCGCTCATGAATATCCTATCATCAACGCATTCACACAACTTTCAAAGTTGAAAAAATCATATAAATCGATTATGGCTTAATGGTCTACGAGTTCGCCTTATAACCAAAAGGCCCTGGTTTCGAACTCCGGTGGGTGCGTACTACTGAAGAGTTCCAAAATAGGACGAGACAGTTGTCTAGTACTCCCTGCAGGTTTTCCAGTGATTCTCAAACTGATGTCAGCTCATGATGAAATCCTCCGACCATTTCGATTATTTTCTATCCCTTGATGATGTGTGCGTCGGTGGTACAGCGGTTAGGACGCTCGCCGACCATCCACATGGTCCGGGATTCGATCCCCGGCCGACGCACACCTGATATCAATGGTCGGTCTGCGAAATTTGGGCTACCGATATCATATGCTGAAAATTTCATACTTGTATCAAAAATACTGTGTGGAGTCAAGCTATAAAAAAAATTATACTCTGCAACCGTTACATTCGACAGTAGCGAATCTCATAGCAAACATCTGAAGGTTTCTGCTTCAAGCGTCTTCACCTTGGAGGACATACTATGGTGCAAATAACTGTGAAGCAACTGTTTATTACACTTATAGCAATCTCATTTGTGACTTTGTTTTCATCACAAGAGTAGACAATTTTGTTATTATGGGTAGATAGTAGTGATTAGAGGTTTTTTTTAAGTTTCTTTTAGTTTTCATTACTTTTTGTTACCTGGAATTTTTAGTTTCCATTATGCTATAAAGTAAATGAAGATGTATAAACCCGTTTAGGTGGCTTTAAACTTTATTGAGTTAAATGCACTTCAAATTTACTGATCTAATGAACTGTTCGTATTTAAAAACTTCAAGCAATTCTTCCCATTAATAAACTTGAACAAAGCAAGAACAACAATTGTACCAGGATAATATGAGCTCATCTTTTATTATTTCGAGGATTCTTCTCAACTGGTTACATCCTGAACGATAAAAAATATGAATTACATTACACTAAAGATTTGAACATACTTTTCCACGATCACAAGGAGTAATTGGTAGGAAGTAAAAGTAACATTAGTCCGGAATGATTTAACTAATTAAGAGTTGCAAACACTGAGTATTTATAGAATAATTAGCAAAGCGTAGCAAGCTAGGTTTCTTTTGCTTGTTGATTATTTTGAATGACTTCAAGTTGTCTACATTATGACCAGTGTCTAATAGATGACACGCATTTGCACTGTTTAATACTTGTGGACCTTTCAGTCTCAGGTTCTTTGGTATGTGTTCAGAAATGCGGACAATAACCCTTCTCTCTGTTCTTCCGATGTATGTGCTTTGACACTGGTTATAATGTAGACAACTTGAAGTCATTCAAAATAATCAACAAGCAAAAGAAAACTAGCTTGCTACGCTTTGCTAAAGCAATTGCTATCAGACGACTTAAACCAAATCTATGTACGCAGAAAGAGACAGTGGTGAATCTTGCACTGCCCTGGTGACAACAAAATATACAACTTGTATGAGTCATCTTTTTCTTGTTCAGAAGACTCTACTCTCTCATCTCAACATGACTCACCCTTTCTTGTTCTTTTCCCTTCCTTTTTTCTATTGGCTATTAGATAAAACATTTTCTTTAGTTACGTAATCTACCTTTTTGTTATGCTCTGTCTAGCTAAACCTTGTTTCTATACATATATATATATATGCAACTCTGTTTTTGTTTCCAAGCCTAATTGTCTAATTATTCTATAAATAGTCAGTGTTTGCAACTCTTAATTAGTTAAATCATTCCGGACTAATGTTACTTTTACTTCCTACCAATTACTCCTTGTGATCGTGGAAAAGTATGTTCAAATCTTTAGTGTAATGTAATTCATATTTTTTATCGTTCAGGTTGTAACCAGTTGAGAAGAATCCTCGAAATAATAAAAGATGAGCTCATATTATCCTGGTACAATTGTTGTTCTTGCTTTGTTCGTATTTAGTATGTTAACACTAAGACTTGAAGTTTTATTGTTAATGTTATCTTATTGCTTATGTCATTATGAGGAATTTTGTTTCTATTCATTATAGGCCCATATTAGTGGTTTGGTAGCAGCTGGTGTTCATCCTAGTCCTTTTCAATATTGTGATGTAGTGATGACTACCACGCATAAAACACTTCGTGGTCCTCGTGGTGCAATGATATTTTATCGTAAAGTTGCTAGACTTCAGAAAAATGGTGTCACGGTAAGTGGGCCTACGATCTCATTTCTCCTCTAAGTACTTTTATTTGTTGTTTTTTTTTTTTTAAACAAGTCGTCTTATAAAATCTGTAAAGTCTTATAATTCTTCTATATTTGAATATAGGTGTGCCTACCATCTGGTACTGTTCAACTCGTGCTAATAATTCTGAAATGTTAATCTTCCCTTACGGACGGGTGCTGTGAGCTTGCTCAACCCCGTTCACGGGTCGGCCTCGTATTGCATTACCTCGAGGATTGGCCCATTTTGTGTGTCGGTGGCACAGTGGTTAGGACTCTCGCCGACCATGCACATGGTCCGGGGTTCGACCCTCTACCGACGCACTCCTGATATCTATGGTCGGCCTGCAAAATTTGGGCTACCGATATCACATGCTGAAAATTCCATACTTGTACTGAAAATACGGTGTGGCATCAAGCTGTAATCAAAATATAAAAGTCACTCAATAATTTAACAGAAAGATAATTCTTTATAAGATAACATATAAGTCGGCAAAGAGATCTTTTTTCGCAACTTCAATTCAGTGTGTATTTACCAGTTGACCTGCTCCTATGGAGCTAAGTACTTGGGCTGTACGAGTAGGGCATACATTGTCCAGGCTTGCCCATGAACACTCACCAACATGGTTGTCAAAGGGAGGACATACAACAGTCAACAACTCAATTCTTGAGTATATTATCACTTCTGGCCATGCAGCATTAGCAGAGACTACTCTCAGAGTCATTTATAAAATAATACCAAATCGTTTGAAAGGATTTCGCCTAAGTCATCTTCATACAGCTGAAGCCTTAGCGATCCTTAAGCAGAGAAACATGAACTTTGTGTTCAGAATCGTTTCATCCACCCTCTTTTACTGCCATGGTCTTAGTAATATGTTTTCAGTTTTTCTTCTTCCTTCTCTGTATTCCTGAATAACTATGTAGGCTGTTTTTTAATTTTTTTTCCACCTCATTTTCAATCTTGTCTCTTGTCAACCGTTTTCAAAGGGGATTATTCATCACTCGACTGATTAGCTGTCAACCCTCTTGATTACGTATGACTATTTCTAAGTTTTCAAACATAGTGATGGCGAGCTACCTAGAATGGTGGCCACATTGCAAATACCTGACTGATAGAATTCAGTCTGCACCAAAGAAGGACTAAATACGTCACACTAGTTACTAGTGTCCAATCAAAATACCCACTACAGTCCTACAGGAGGTCAATCGCGAGCCCGAATAGCTCAGCAGTAACGTCTCTGACTGTGCAGCCCCACTGGGTGACGCGGTTTCGAGTCTCAGAAGGGACATGAGTTCCTTCAAGGTTGCAGATACGCCTTGCTGATGAGTGCCAACTACCACGAAACCTAGGTCCAAGGCTTCCTGCCGATTGCCTCCAACTATCTAATAGTTATTACTCATTAAATTTAATTTTAGATCAATGGGGAAATTTAAAATTGAATTAAATAATTAATATGACCCGTTGTACAAGAGGTGGTTCTCGTGGCGTTTGAAACTATGGGCACTGGGTTCGGTACTCGGTGGGAACATCATCACTCACTGTAGGATGCAGGTAAATCCAGATGACGGGTCTCAAATAGGACGAAACTCGCGTCATGGATACCACTGCTAGTCACCATCCACCAATATTTATTACTCATTTTAAATCATTTATACTGATTCGATCTTACTCGGGGCTTAAATTATTCCAGGAGATAATTATTACTCTTGCATTTTAATTTTTCCTTTTTACTAACTGACAATAACTTTTGACCTGTTGTTGTCGTCAGTCTACACTGTATATGATAAACACCCTAAATAAACTGTACAGCTTTGGATCTCTTTACTCACTCATGTGTTCTTAATTACATTGTAGAAACAATTTCGGAGAATCATCACTATGCTGAGACCATTAAGTCTATGAATCATGCTTCTAAGTTCACAGAGACTATAGTAATATGAGGGAATGCCTACAGAAATCACTAGTAGAAAAATTGACAACACCAAAGTTGACTGAAATCTTGTTAACAGTATAGTCAAATTTTCACTCAATTATTACCTGTGAATAGCTGTTGTATGTAAAGATTATCTAGAGGAATACATGTGTGAAGTATGCACATTTGTCTTGGACTATGATTGTACTAGATTTTAATTGTTTTGAAGATTACAGAAATGTGTCTTCTTCGTGCGCAAAATAAAAGATCTATTTGTCTAATTAGTGTTGCACCAGAACTGGACTTCCTACTTAGATGAATTCTGATAGTACAATCCATGATAAAATCTCTTTACTACATGTATGAAAGGTTAATTGACTGCCTATCCACTCTTCGTCTCTTTTAAAGATATAAAATTATCGCTGATTGACTGAAGCTTTTGACTACCAGTCAGTAGGTCCATCGCCTAAACTGCGCCTACTACTTACTTCTGTTTGGGCAACTAGGGGAGTAAGGGGGAGTAGTATCATCAAGCCTCATACAAGAAGTGTTTCTCATAACGCAGAACCGGATAAATGATGGTTAACAAACTCTTTTAAAATATATTTATGAGGTACTATAGTCGGCGATTGACGAGATTTCCTATGGAAACATATAAGAAAAATGGATTCGTCCTTCATTTTTTTAACCGCCCTCCTGATAATATTACTGCTTTAATGAGGCTCTACTTTTCTACGTGTTTTTTTTCTCTTTTAAATCTATGCTATATAGCAAAATGGAAGCCATGGTGATCCAGTGCCGACAGATTTTGAACGTCGTATCAATGAAGCTGTCTTTCCAGGACTACAAGGTGGACCACATAATAATACAATTGCTGCTTTAGCTGTCGCTTTAAAGGAAGCAGCATCACCAGAATTTCGAACTTATCAACAACAAGTGCTTAAAAATATGAAACAACTTTGCACATCATTAAAAGCCTTTGGCTATGAGGTAATTCATTTCTATGCGTCAATTATATTAAAACACCTTTTATACCTTCTTCTTGGAGTAGAGCTGTGAAAAATATTTTAATATTTAATTTTTTGATTGCATGGAGGGTTTCATCGTGAGCTGACATCAGTTAGAGAACCACTGGAAAACCAGCTGGGAGTACTGGACAGCTGTTTCGTCCTAGTTTGGGACTCTTCAGCAGTACGCGCCCAACGGGATTCGAACCCAGGACCTTCTTCGGGTCCCAGTGGCTCAATGGTCTACGAGCTCGCCTCGTAACCAGAAGGTCCTGGGTTCGAATCCCGTTGGGCGCGTACTGCTGAAGAGTCCCAAACTAGGACGAAACAGCTGTCCAGTACTCCCAGCTGGTTTTCCAGTGGTTCTCTAACTGATGTCAGCTCACGATGAAACCCTCCATGCAATCAAACCAAATCCCTACAAAACCAATACTTGCAAATTAATCTGGTGCTCACTAGTGACTGGCCCTATTCAGGCAGTTAACCTGGGGTTCTAGTGGGAAGCCGTGACCAGTAGGGTACAGCAGGTCGAAGATGAGGACAGTTACTCACGAAGAAGACATTGCGAAATGGTCGCGCTATGTCGTGAATTGGCAGAAGTTAGAATTCAAGGACCATTAGATCGGGTCCCAGTGGCTCAATGGTCTACGAGCTCGCCTCGTAACCAGAAGGTCCTGGGTTCGAATCCCGTTGGGCGCGTACTGCTGAAGAGTCCCAAACTAGGACGAAACAGCTGTCCAGTACTCCCAGGTTTTCTAATGGTTCTCTAACTGATGTCAGCTCACGATGAAACCCTCCATGCAATCAAACCAAATCCCTACAAAACCAATACTTGCAAATTTAATTTTTTTTAAATTCCTTCACGTCCCCCAGTGAAACATAGGGCTTCAAGCTAGAGTCTTGAAGTTTCTGTAGCAGTGTTTATTTTTACAGGATGGGGTTGCTAGCCTCATGCCCAACCATTCCTCTTCACCAGCATTATTTCTGGCTTAGCGAGGTAAGGGAGTGCGCCGGCCGGGTATCGAACCCCGGACCATGTGCATGATCGGCGAGCGTCCTAACCGCTATGCCACCGATGCAATATTTAATATTAATGTAATTTTTGTCTTGAACTAATATCAGCTAGACAATCATTAAAAGGCGACAAAGCACTGAACAGCTGTTTCGTTCTTCTAGTTTAAGATTTTTCAGCAGTTCACCCCCTCGTGACCCTACGAGGCATCGAATCGACGACCATCAGATTATTACTTGACAAGTCCGTTGAATATTCAGCCACTGATGAGTCCAACCATCTGTCAACTTGTGAGTTATTGCTGGCTCTAACAAGTACCATCAATGAGCTCCTGCTTCACTTTTGTCGTGATGGACCAATTTGTCGGCCAATGACGGCATCAAAAATAAAATTAACCGAAATTTCTAGACCTCACGGAGTCTAAATGCTACACATTGTTTATATTTTCTAGGGATTCGCTATTTTGTTATGGTTTTTTCTCGCAATTTTTTGTGACTCCTTTTTAGGAATCACTTATTGTATTTATTTTTCTGTAATATCTGGCTATTGACTAAAAGACATATGTGTACTGTGCAGCAGTTCACTCTGTTCTTCCTCCTCACTGTGAAACATGGCTATTGAAAGTGTGAAAGACATGAGAAGATTGCCTAGCTGTCTTTGATCACAGGTATTCGCGTCCCATCATCTCACGTCTTAAGTGGTATCATATGGTGAGTAATATCGAGGTTAGGCGTAGAGTACTAAATAAAGCGGGTAAGCCAGTCGCTGAAGTTGTCAAGTTACATCGATTGAGATGGCTAAGACGCATGTCGTGCATCCTGAGTCATCGCCTTCCTTGACTCGTTATGTTAGCCTACATAGTACTAAGTAAGAAAACTTCTCATCACTTCATGAAGTCTTTGAGAAGTAGTTGGTTTTTAAGCCAGCCATGTATGGATGTGTAAAGTGCCTGCTTGGGGGGTTCTTGGGATTCTAAGAACCAGTGGCTGGAGACAGTTGGTGATATAGCTCAAGATCTTTTTCTTTGGCATATATGCATCCACTCTTCATGTCCTCTCCCCACCCCCACTAAGTCAACTAAACCGTTATATTTTTCTATGTTACTATTGTTTCTCCCTCGTATTTCTGCATATCAGTGTTCTTTAGAATCGTTCTTCCTTGCTTTTCGTGGTACATAAAGTGTGGTAGCCTAAACTTCTGCACTTCTGTGCAAAGTTCTATCTTGAAACCGATCAATCACAGATATTACTTTCCGCTTTTACACACTACCATTCCATTTGATGTGACTAGATATAATGTGAATATATATGCATCGATTGCTTCATTTTTATTGAGTTGTTTCTGCCAACATTCACACTCAAAACATAAGGTTGTTTATACAAAGTCGACCGCATAAATATATATATATATATATTTCTGAGAAAAACAATTAAGCAACTGTTGGCTAAGTTCGTATAACCGGTGAATCATTTGCTGCCTATCAAATTATGGGTATTTGTATCCTTTCACAGTTAACCATTGAGTAAGTTCTTAAAATTGACTAAAATTAATAGGCAATATCAGAAGGTGTTTGGGTTTCGTTTATCTGTAATCCAGTCTTTGGTGTCTTTTACGTTAATTTACATTCCCTGTTGATTATGTTGTGAACTAAAGTGCTTAGTCTCTTTTGACATGCCATCTTCTAGTGTAGGCGCTCTGACAATGTGACCGATAGTTGAATCTAAGATGCAGATTTCGTCCTATTCAGGTTTCGTCATCCGAGAGTAGCTGCATTCCCAGTGAGTAGATAATTATTTGACGTTTGAAACAATGGGAGTGAATGCGAGTACATCCAGTGACGAGTCCTAAATAGGACGAAATGCATATCTCCTGGATTCCACTGCTAGTCATTAATCAGAATAACTTCATGTAACTCACTGTATATCAAATTCAAGTACATTCCATTGAGTTTAATTTTTTTCATTCATACAGGTGTTGTATTTTATATCTATAGTATAAAATTTTAAATATATATATGTATAAAATTGAAATCATTTCTAAAACCATTTAATCTCATTTATACTCTATGTCTGAACATATAGTTAGTAACAGGAGGCAGTGATACACATTTGTGCTTGGTAGATCTTCGTCCAATGAAAATCGATGGTGCACGAGCTGAAAAAGTTATGGAGTTAGCACATATTACTGTGAACAAAAATACTTGTCCTGGTGATGTTAATGCCTTGAGGTAAATTATTGTAAATTGTCTAAAATAAAATTGAATAGTTTCATTTATGTATAGTTTTCGTATAATAACTTTAGTAGTTTTTATAGGCAACAAGATATCTGAAGTGGTTTAGTCTGGTGAAGGTGGTGGTGGTGACACAAGATACCTGACTGATAGTTTTTCTTAGATGATTATAAGCAATTGACTGGAGGCCTTGGACCTATGTTGCGTGCTTGTTGGCACTCGTCTGCAAGGAACCTATGTCCCCTTCTGAGATTCGAACAACAGATCATAGTGTACTGTGATGACGAAGTCAACTAACATCGTGGCCACATTGCAAACTTGACTGATAGAATATTCAGCCTACACGACACCAGTTACAGTCTATTGTCCAATCAGAGTGATAAATTTTCATCGATACATTCATTGTTACGGTAATTTCAAACTACATTGTAGCCTAGATATCACTTACTAGTAATTTCGTGAGAGCTGTCTGCTAGCCAAAACTGGTAGACAGCAATTTACATCAATGTTTATGTCCCAAATCTTGGTCATGAGAAAAAACCAAGAACAAAGACTTTGCGTGGGCGAATACGATTCACAGTTATATGGTCTGACCATCAAAGAAACAACCACAAAGAGTTGACAGACTAACTTTCAGGCAGAAAACAACCAATTAGAATACGCTGTTTCTCTGTTACTAATACCGAATAATAATGTACATAAAAATATATAAATATCTCTTAATTTCCTCAGTAAACGATCTGTTGTCTTCTGACGTTACCGTAGTAGTAAATTCTATGACTTCGAGCAGGCTGACCAATCCATGTTTGAATCACACACAAAGCATGATAGTCTTGGAAATCGCGGATATACTGTGTTAATGAATATCAATACATATTTAGTGTAGCTTCAAAATTCCCAGCCGGTGGACGACTCCTTAGCGCCTAGATCGTTTTATTAATCGTAGCCATTCGTACTTCTACATTCCTTAAGTAATCGAGTAATGGTAATGTACACCGGACAGTGGTACTATAAGATTGAGAATCTAAAAGCTAAATGTTGAAGTGAAGGTAGTTGAGGAAATCATTTCGTCTGACTAAAAGTACGACATCAGACATGAAAGTGAACAAAACGATAAAAAAGGTTTTATCTTCAACATTGTGAACAATTTGATAAATATAAAGTGGACCATAGACGGACTAGCTTGGTAAATGTCCTATCTAAAAGGATTCTCCTGTCCATAATCATTAACATGGCCAGGCAAACTCAAAAAACCAGACAGGTTACACACCCAAGATGTCCACCCTTAGACAGGTTCTGGATTGCAGGCAAATCTACCAGCGCGCTTTGCTCGCCATACTTCTTTACCTACAAATTCCATTTCACTATATCGATTGAGTGGTTTTGCGGCATTGTTTGGCAATGCATGAATATTACCGAATCAAGACAATCTACTCGAACTTATGCAGCAGTGTTGAAACCTTACGGAGAGTCGTCCGAAGTAAAGAAAAGCTATGGGTGTCCGCCAAGGGTGCCAAATGTCTTCAATTTTATTTAATTTCTTTATAAAATTAATAATGAATATTACCGTCTTGTTGTGAAGTTTGATGTTCCATTAGGAACACAAGGAATCGAAATAAGGTTAGCTTTTTCATTATCCTTCATCTTTATCAACCTCATTCAACAGGTATGCGACAATGCCACGTGTCAGGTGATCCATGACGGAAAACCCGATGAAGTCTTTGAAGTGAAGAGGGACTGCTTGCTTATCATCAGTGGCATTCCTAATGGTGGTAGTATGGATTATGCATCAGACTGTGGAGGTAAAAAAATTGGAATGCGCTAGATCAATAAATAGACTCTAGAAGACCTGGATTTAGCGGATAATTTATCTCTAATCTCACACAAACTCGAAGACTTGCAGATGGAAATCAACAAACTTTCTGAAGAAGCAGCGAGGACTGAACTTCAAGTGAACATAGAGAAAACGCAGGTGATGAAGGTAACCGACCAACAACAACTAGCATCAGTCACTATCAACGGAAGAAATTTGAAATTGCTTCACTTATCTAGAAAGCATCGTGTCAACTCAGATGATGACAGCACAGATGATGTCGAAACCAGATTCCGATAGGTAAGATAGACCCTGATGACTCTGAAATCAGTTTGGAAATCTTCTGCACTCAGCATAAAGAACAATATTCGGATTTTCACCAGCAATGCCAAGTCAGTCAGTTCTTCGATATGGGTCACAATCTTGACACACGCGTCAATAAAAGCATTTTCAACAGGTTACTGCAGACAACAGCTGCCTTAGCCGGCTCAATATTGAAGATCAAATGGCTAGTCAGAAAGAATTACCAACAAGATACTCTGGGAATGGACCAATAAAGAACCTATTTCTAAACAAATATGACGAAGGAGATGGAGATGGATCGGACACACGCTGAGGATGACCGCGCGCAAACCACTTCTGGAGTCTAACCCGAAGGGGAAACGTGGAGTTGGGCGTTGGCCCAAAGGCGACTTAGAGAGGGTTGTGCGAGAATGAAACGAAAGCTTATGGGCCATCGTGTGTGTGGTGAGCTAAAGAGGGCCACAGAGAATAGGACAAAGCCCTATGTCTCCCTCTGGATCTGAGGAAACAATAGTAAAATAACTCTCATTTACCGCAAATTATTGAAGTGTAAATAGGTGTGTTTTTTGATTGACCTATCGTCAATTACTATATTATTCCACTGAATATATTTATTGTATAATTTAATTTTTCACCTCTCCAATGTTTTAATACTTACAGACCTGGTGGCTTACGTCTTGGAAGTGCTCCATTAACATCACGTGGTTTCTGTGAAGAAGATTTCATTAAAGTAGCCGAGTTTCTACACCAAGGTATCCAAATTGCTATCAAAGCTAATCAAGCTGCAGGTGGCAAATTATTAAAAGATTACGAAGTATGTGTGACATTTTTTTCTTTTCACCATTTATCATCTGTAGCCCTAATCAGCTAAAGTCTTTTTTTTCTGCCTAAAATTTTTAATCCCTATTGAGGAGACATAAAACAAAGAATTCAACGAAAGAAATTCTCTTTTCACCGACTTCACTTTTTTATAGCTGAACAGTCGTGTATGTGAACTACTGATGTGTGCGTCGGTGGCACAGTGGTTAGGACTCTCGCTAACCATGCACATGGTCCGAGGTTCGATCCCCTGCCGACGCACACCCGATATCTATGGTTGGTCTGCAAAATTTGGGCTACCGATATCCATGCTGAAAATGCAATATTTGTACTGAAAATACGGTGTGGCATCAAGCTGTAATCAAAATAATATAAAAAATTAGTTTGTATGAGTGTGTGTGTGTATGTCAAAGTTTGACAGTGGTATTAATTCAAATATGTACAAAATGATTGTGTTAATAACTTCAATCATAAGATAATTGTAATGATGTCACCATAAATTTACAAATTAGAGAAGTAGAAACAGTCATTTATTTTACTTATGACATAGTAAGTTGTAAGTTTCACACTTCACACTTTCTCTGTCACATAGAACGTGGGTCAAATAGGGTATCGTTGAGTTTTTGTACTTGGTTGTACGAGCATATAATCGTTTGTGATGACTTCGATTCCTCTACCTAACGAGATGCAAGTGGGAAGGAGAGTTGTGAATAGAGAGGGTGTTGATAGTCAGAAAATGTGGATTTAGTCCATTTCTAGCATGAGTTCAGTTGTCTGTCGACTACAGTGGTTACCAGGTGACTTAGTGGTGCCACACCACTTCCCTTACTGACAACCTTTAATTACACTTCACAAGATGACATAGTCGTTTTTGATTGGTAGCCCAGGAAAGACGAAGGGTGGAGGAGCAATAAAGAACAATAGATAATAGTTAAAAGTTTATAAAAATAGTGGTTGAATGATTCCTTATTGTCTTAACTTCCTAATATAGTAGGTTAGATGGAGTATTTTCTTAGAAATCAACAAGATATGGTATGACCAAGTGAGGTTAGAGGAAGGAACTATTCCAGGGTATTTTATGCTTGACTTAGTTCAATAGATGTGCTTAAAATAGATGATAGGAAGATAAAGTACATTCGGAAATGTGAAAATGTGAGTGCGATAAGATGGGAGAATAAGATGAGTGAAGTGTCTCACTGACTTCACTCACTTGATTACCCTTAAATTTTAAGTTTAGATGCAACACTTTCTTAGATACTTTATCCCATTCGGCATATTTCTTTCTTATAATTTACTACTGATCTCCTCTACAAAGCGTATTGGATACCTATTCTCCATGAAAGTTTCTTTTAATTATTTAAGTTCATCATCAACCCAATCATTTCTGAGTTTTCTTTGGAGCCATGTTGAAAGAGAAGGACTTAAATTCTTTTTTTCTGTCAATTGTCCTGTCCATGTTGATTTTCTGAAAATTGATCTGTTCAACGACTACTTATCAGCTCTCGTGATGAGTAAATGACACATCAGGGAAAGATATATTGCCATCACTTTCTTTTCCTAACGTGAATCGGATAGTAAGATGACTGTCATTGAATACTTTCACGATATCTTCCAAATTAAAGTTACCAATTTGTTAGAAATTCCAGCTGAAATGCCTATACATTGACCACAACAATATACACGTACTGTCCACAGTCTCTTTTAGATTATCCTCTTCCTTCTGGAGCCATACTGAGTCCCACAAAACACCTATTTACTCTCAGAAACAAGCTAACAAATTCATTAAAATATGGCATAAAATGGATGTATACACATTAATCTCACTTATCTATATACATATCATTTACTTGAAGCCTTAACTAACTGAAAACGTTTAAGTCACAAACACTTTTTCATAACATTAAACCTTTCGAGTTGATTTCGATTTCGAATTCTAGGTTATTCTATTGTACTAGTAATTACTTCCTGCCTTATCGATCTGTATAATTATAATTTTGACCTAAAATTCAACCATGTCATCATTTATGACTTACTTTCGTTCGTGTTGTTTTTTTCACATAACCTATCAGACTGCTAGAACATAGTTATACTATCGCACAATTTGTACAGACTAAATCTAACCTTGCTGTTTTATTCGATATTTATACTGGACACTTTGAATTTCATGTTATTCGGTTGCCTATAATTTGGCTTCTTTCTCAGGTGTATTGCCAAAAATACTAGTCTTGCTGACTTAAATGAAACTCACAATTTGCAGTGGACACAGTTTCAGGGGTGAAATTTTCACTGCAGTTTCCTTTAGACACCAAATTATTCAGATTAACAGTACCTGATCTGCTTGGTACTATTGATTTTTTTCTTCTTATTCCTTTACGTTCCCAGTGGAATATATAGCATTAAGCTAGAGCCTTAAAGTTCCCGTAGCAGTAGTGTTTATTTTTACCTGGATGGCCAACCTTCCCTCTTTACCAGTCTTATTACTGACTTAGGGAGGTAAAAGAGTGCGTCGGTCGGGAATCGAACCCCGGACCACATAAGGCGTGGTTGGCGACAGTTGTAACACTGATGCTAATCGAGAAAGCAAGCCTATTTGCATAAAGGTACATACATACATACATACATACATACATACATACATACATACATACATACATACATACATACTACTAATGATTGACTGATTGAGATGATGATTAGTTTTATACTACTGATATCAGCCGCTAGTAATACTTACTAGCCAGATGGAGGTGATCTAAACACTGGGATAGATGTTTCTCTGGGTGTAAAGCCGAATTCATCATAGGTGTATACTTAGCCAGTTTGACTCAGCTAAGAGAGTCGAACCGGTTCAAACACACGTTCACATAGCGAAAATCGTTGACTTTATGCTTCTAATCCTCTGGTATCTGCTTATTTTGATTTTTTCTTGTTATAAATTCTACTCACATAAAACTATCCTAATTTCTTCTTTTTTTTTCTAATCTTATTTAGAATGTACTTAAAACCAATGATGAAATTCGCGCAATGATCAGTGATTTGAGACTTCAGGTTGAAAATTTCGCATCCAAATTCTATATGCCTGGACTTGAAGATTTTTAATTCGTTAAAGCAGCTATTTTTGATAGGATAAAAGATTTTTTCTAAACTGTAATTCGTAAATATATGTGCATATATATATAACACACACAACCCTTGACTTGCGAAAAATGTTTTGCAGTAACTTTAAATCATTCGTTGTACGAACCCCCTTTAATGTTAAGCGTTTCAGTATATGTATTAGGGTAGTGCAGAAATGTATAGTAATTAATTTTGATTTCCTTTTATATGGTTCAGTAGTGTCAGTGGTAGAATCCTCGCCAATCAAGTGTGTGGTTCCGTTTCGGCTTCCAGCTGACGCATTTCCAAACGTATCCTAGTCGGCAGTAAGACTGGTGAAGAGGAGAGATCGGGACATGCGGCCGACAATCCCAATCCGTGAAAACAATACATTTATTGAATCTTCAAAGTTGAAGTCTTATGTTCCGCTTGGATCACGTAGGAAAAATATATAAGGGTGACGGGAGACCCCTAAGCTTGCTCACGAGGACTCGCAGGTGTAGGGATAGCACTGAGCGTTAAGGCGGAAAAATCACTTCTTGACTGGTTCCCAGTAGACAGTCGTATGTGTGCGGTCCGTCTGAATGGGTCCGTTAAAAGAAGGAAAGATGGCGCTACCCGTCGTTGCCTTTTCATAGTCTCCGCTTACGCCCCAACAGACTGCAGTTCGGATGAATTAAAAGATGACTTCTACCTGAAACTGTCTAATTTGCTGCAAAAAGCAAAACGTTCAGACATAGTTGTTTTAGCAGGCGACTTCAATGCCCAAGTAGGGAAGTTGTGCCAGACTGAGAAGTATGTAGGTGGTACGTATGGATTCCCCTGCCGACGAACCGACAACGGTGATCGTCTTCTCCAGTTTTGCTTAGATAATCATCTGTTCCTATTCAGCACTAACTTTAGGCACAAAGAGAGACATTGTGTAACCCTGGCGACCTCTATCACCAAATCAACGCTGGACTCATATAGACCACATAGCCATAGAGTATCGTTGGCGAGGGTCAGTAGAAGACTGTTGCTCCTTCTGGAACACGTGCGTAGACTCTGATCACGCTCTGGTTCGCGCACGTTTATGCTTACGACTAAATGGACATAAGAAATTGACGGCAGCGAAACAGTTACGTCCCCAACTAGATCGAGACACTGAGTCCTTATTTAAGGAAGAAATAGCGAAACTAGTTTCCGAGGTCGACAGCAGGACTTCCCCTGAGGTAGCCTGGCACAACATACAGTTAGCTGTAGACACAGCTGTGAAGGCTGTTAATAAGCTAAAACCTAAAGTTAATAAAAGCCATTGGATCTCTACTGCCTCATCCGAACTGATTGACGCAAGAAGACTGATTCCAGCGAGCTCCGATTATGATGAGGAACGAAAGCTACTCAAACGCAAACTAAGAAGAAGTCTTTGTAATAGTGGTGGGCGACAAAAGCAAAAGAGATGGAAAAGGCATTGGCGACACCAGACAACTATTCAGGCTTATCAGGGAAACAGGTGGCAAAAAGCAAATGATAAGCGAAACAATCTCTGAGAAAAATGGCACCATAATTAACTCCCAGGATAGACGACTGGAACGCTGGAAAGAACACTATGACGAGCAGCTTAGTTGGCCTACAGCCACACTTAACCTGCCGAATATCCAACACCTCCCTGAATGGGATATAGACATAGGTCCTCCGTCCTTAAATGAGGTTATTAAAGCTGTCACTAATCTGAAGCAAGGCAAAGCAGCGGTACCTGATGGAATGACTCCAGAGGTATTTAAGTACGGTGGAGACAGTTTACTGTCTGCATTAAGTGAGGTTCTAGGCAGCGTCTGGGAATCAGAGGAAGTCCCATCGGGTTGGTGTAAGTCACTGATCATCCCGATATACAAGAAGGGAGACAAGTCTTCTTGTGATAATCACAGAGGCATTAGCTTGACTAATATGGTATCCAAAATCCTAGGCTCAATAATACTGCGTACACTAAGTGGTGCTCGGGAGGCACAAACACGAGAAAACCAGGCAGGTTTTAGGCCAGGTAGAGGGTGTATTGATCATATCTGCACCCTTCGACAGATTCTAGAACATAGGCATTCCTACCGGCGTCCGACAATCGTTATATTTCTTGACCTAAAGGCGGCATTCGATTCTGTCCACCGAGAGATTCTCTGGCGATGCTTGACTGTAAAGGGAATGCTGAGAAAATACATTGCACTGATTAAGGCACTCTACTCGTACTCATGCAGCCAGGTGAGTGCATACGGCGAGTTGTCATCTGAAGTGGTGGCGTCTGTCAAGGATGCCCATTATTCCTATTCAACTTCATCATAGACGTACTAATGGAATTAACCCTAACTCACTTCAGAGACTCAGGGATTGACTTACTACCAGGGAAGAATCTCGTTGACTTAGAATATGCATGTGGATGATATATTCCTTCTAGGTGAGGCCGCTGACAAAATGCAGAGTCTTCTGAACACCTTGAGCTGCAATCTTCGTATGTTTGGCATGCGATTCGCCCCTGTAAAATGTAAGATGATGCTGCAAGATTGGACTTCACCGACCCCTAGATTAGAAATAGGAAGTGAAGTGGTAGAGCACATTGACTGCTTCACTTATTTGGGAAGTACCATCAGCCCCAACGGGTTGATCTCCGACGAAATATCAGCACGAATACAGAGGGCTAGGTTCGCATACGCCAGTTTACGCCGTCTCTGGCGTTGACGCGATATCCGACTGTCGACCAAAGGGCGTGTGTACTGCTCAACAGTCCGCTCCGTCTTCCTTTATGGCTGTGAGACCTGGCCATTGAAAGCGGAAGACATGAAAAAGAGAAGACATTCAGCGAAGAGACTCTTTTCGGCGAATTCATTCACATAGCTGTACAATCGCATTTATATATAAATATTTGTGTGTGTGTGTGTACATGAGGTTTGTCAAGGTTAGATAATTGATTAGTTAATACAAGAATGATGTAGTATAGAGACAAAGTTAATCAGACAGCAACTAAAGTAAGATTGAGTTAAAAAGCTAGATGACGTAATATAATTGGCTAAAATGTTACAACTTAGGTCAGGATAGCAACAGAGGTAATTACAGGTAGAGATTAAGTAGAAGTGAAATTGAGTGAATAAGTTGGATGACGTAACATGAATGACTAGAAACTGAGCGTTATTCAAGTCAGTAACAGTGGTAGTGAGGTGTAGAAATTGAATCGGGTGGGGGTAGAGAACAAGAAAGTTGAAAATGTAAAATGTTACAATTGAGAAGACAAAATAATACTAATGAAGAGACAGAAGAAAAGATTAGGTAGAATTTACATGTCGGCTGTCTTTGACCATAGGTGCCTGCGTTCTATCTCCCGTTTGAAGTGGTAAAATAATGTGAGCAATATTGAGGTTAGGCGTTGGTCGAGTGCTAGGTAAGGCGGGGAAATCAATCGACGAAACGGTGAAATTACATCGACTGAGATGGTTAGGACATGTGTTACGTATGCCTAGTCATCGCCTTCCTCGACGGGGAATGTTAGCTGATGTAGGGTCAGGCTGGAAAACAGCTAGTGATGGTCAAACGAAAACATGGCACCAGTCAATGAAATCCACAACAGTTAGTCTAAGCCACGTAGTGAGATGTAGACTTCCTGGTTGGGGTCCTCGGGACTGTAAAAACCAATGGTTGGAAACAACTGGTGACATGGCTCAAAATCGTTCTCAATGCATAGTGCAGATGCATCCACTCCTTGTGACTCATGATTTCCAATGAAACTGTTTTGTTCTTCGTTATTACTATACTTTTATCTCACACCTCTGTTTACTGTCTATATTATGCATGTCTCCTACTTTCTTCTTCTCTTCTCTTTCTTCTTTTCCTTTGTGTGCTACATGGAGTGTGGCGACTTGAACTTCCGCACATATGTGCAAAGTTCTATGTCGAAAACCTACCTACCTGTATATAGATATATACATATATATAATTTACTCCAAAGCAGTGTTTGTTGTTGAAATGTCCAAATTCTCCAGCTACTAGTCTCAGATAATTAACACTGACAGTGAAATTGATCGCCGCCTCTCAAACACAAATACAACCAATTTTAGATCTAGTTTATTATTATTATTGCTACTATAGTAGAAATGAGTGGACATTGTTTAAGTGGTTGAGAACTTCTATGTTACAAATACGCAGCAAAAATGGACCTTGTAAATCAATTCTAATTGTGCTTGCTTTTAAATGTCATGTGTAATAACAATAACAATGATCTGGCTTATTCCAAAAATCGGTACTTATAATACAGCATGAAATTCTCAGCATTTGTCACAATATTCCATCTAGTTTACGCAAACCACAGGAAAGATTCCGCATTTACAGTAGGAGTAAATTCAAAAATGTGCAAAATATAAAATGAAAATGACAACTATAATGATAATAGTAATGATGTAAAATAGATTTATTGATGTTAGATGGTTGGAGGCAATCAGCCAAAGGAAGTCTCGCTTGACCTAGGTTTCGTGCTAATTGGCACTCACAAGTCAGCAAGGTGTATCTTCAGACTTGAAGGAACAGCGCATGTCTCTTCTTCTGAGATTCAAACCTGCGTCATCCAGTGCTGCAGGCAAAGACGTTACGTTTGGTGCAATCAAAAATCGATAGATATCCCTCTCATGTGAACTCCAACTGCATATACAAATTTACATGCATCTGCGGGAGCAGTTACATTGGAAGGACAGAAAGAAGGGCATATCTACGATTTTCTGAACATGTACCAAAAAGCTTACGTCTAAAGGGAACAAATTCTTCAAACAGTGCCATCGCCAGGCATCTCCTCGACACGGGTCATGAGGTGGAAATCGAGAAATCCTTTAAAATTATCAATAGACAAAGGAGCTCCATTCTCCTCAAGTTTACCGAAGCAATTTCTATCAAACGCTTCAAACCAGATTTATGTGTTCAGAAAGAAGCAGTTATTAGTCTTTCCTTGCCATGGTAACTGGATGTCTTTATTCTCTAATCTGATTACGTAATCTTTGTCTTTAACCTCACCCCTCCTTTTTTTATTTTTTATTTTTAAAATCTGTAATATTGCTTGTCTCTTGTTTCTATGACGTGATTT